GCACAGCACCCGTATACACTGAAGGACAGAAGATCTGGGTTAAAGTACATAGAAGATCCGACAAGTCACGTCGGTTAACAAGAAAAATACATTTGGTTTACCAAGGACCATATGTCATTAAAAGTGAGATCAGACCTAACGCTTATCTGATTGAAGACTTGGAAGGACAGACCATAGGCGTATACAACTCCAGACAGTTGCGACTACATCGAGATCCGCAATTAAAAGAAATCGGATGCATCAACCACTCATCAGATGATGGGTATAATACCGATGGACTTTCGACTTCTGCGCGATCCAAAAGTTCAGCGACGTTACCGGAGACAGCCAAGAAATCCTTCAAGGACCTGAAAAAGAAAAGTCTTTGCTGAAAACAAAGGATAGTAAGCAAAAAGACGATAAAAAAAAAGTAAAAATAAACAAGAAAATAGAGTACTCAGATGACAAGAAATGTCATGAGGAATCAGAAAGTGACAGTTCAGAAAAAATCCCACAACGCTGCGAACAACACGGAAGATATCGTGAAGCCGAGGATATTCGACACAGGAACCTGGACCTGAAACAGAAAAAAGAAAAGGTTAAAAAGGTGAGACCACCGAAGAATACTTATCGCTACATCTATGAAGATGACTCCGATAAAACCATCGTCGAGAACATGGACAAATTCATCAAAGACCGTAATCCATCCAAGGACATGATCCAAGGATATTATGGCACACTCCGAATCCTGAGAAAAAATCCGTGGGCGGATGGTAAATGTAAAGCCACTCCGTACCTGAAACAAAAAGACAAAAAAAAATTTACCATGGAAACCACAAAAAACTTTCTACGACGAATCTGACGAAGATTTCGAGAAAGACATCTAGCGTCCAAGTAGTTCAAAGCAACACTTAGAGACCGAGGATGGTAATGAAAGCGACTTAGCAACATACCTGAAAAGAAAAAGAGTTATAAACGGAAGAATTTATCATCATTATGGTATATATGGTGATAATCCAGACAAAAAAATCGTCAACGCTATGTTTAAATACGAGACAGATGTTTGTCCGACTAGCGCAATGATCAAACAATATTACCGTAACATACAAACTCCTGGTAGTGATGCGTTCAAGAAACTCCACCAGAGTAACCATCAACAGGAAGATAAGATCACCAACAGGAAGAAACATGCCCTGGAAAGTGATGATGACAGTGAGTATGACATGTGCGTGTTAGACGTCATGCATATTGACACTTGTGACAGTAATGACAGAAAGAGTGACTCCCGTGATACAATGGACATATCTGATATGCCAGAAGGTGAGCCAGACGACCAGAGTGTCGTATTTCCGAGTGCACCACACGTGATTTCTCGAAGATATTATTCAGCATGTCTAGTGTTAGATAGGATCACATCTAGAAAAGAAACTATTATTAGCATGCTAGGATACAGGTTAAGTGCAATTATAGACACTACAGCTACTAAAAACGTTATTTCACGCAATTTGTGTGAATGTTTAGTGCAACACTCGGAGGAAGTGTCAGTGACAGACGCAGACGTAAACAAACTAAAAGGTTATACTCCGGCGAAAAGAATTTTGACAGCTGCGATAAAAGTGCAGAGTACACACGGCGTCAAAAATTCGCGGAGTAGGCGCGGGGATCGGAGGGCAAGCGGGGCGGATGCTCGTAGCGCCAGCGAGCACCGTACAAACTAAATAGTAGCAATTGATTGTTCGCAACTACATCGTGTCGATAATGTAACTACTCTTCTTTTCAATTTTCTTCTCAAAATGTAAAACTATTGGCCATTTACTAAATATCTAACGTTAACAACTAACATGTATATGTATATATGTGTGTGGTAAATAATATTATAATGTCTCCGGTATATGGAAAAAACGTAAATTGTAAAAGTCTCGTTTGAAAAATTATATACTATTATATATAGCCACTAAATAAATACAATTATATTAGATTATTATTATATTATATTATATCTATATATTTTGTGTATACAATTATATGTATGTAGAAATAGAAACAAATTAAAAAATGAATAGGGCAAACAGTGCATAAGTAAGAAGAAAAAGATTATAACAAATATATATATGCTGAAAGTTGAATAAGCTTATGTCAAAATTAATGTATCATATGTATTGTGACGTTTTTCGCGGATGTTACAAAATTCCCGCGTCGTCCCGCCCGAAACGGAAAGATACGAGATCGGGACACGGACGGAAGTCCGCGAGATAGGAAACGTCTGTATCGGCAGGACAGAAAAGGGTGTCAAACCGAGCAACCACTGTACCGAGCCGACGNATNCTTGGATNTANTTTTGGGCGCCAGACGCGTACTCGCGTCAAAATGTGCGTCGCTCGANACAATGGGCCGACTAGCTCTATTTGAAACGGAGAGGGGGTGGGTCGGATGATAATTAAACACGGCTGTCCCGGACGAATCTCGGATTAGGTTTGCAATCAACCACACTGCAGATAGATTAGAAGAAATAAACAATTTATTACAACGCCGCGGAATCAGCGACAATTGAGCGAGGATAACAAAAAAAAAATACAAAATAAAGTTCCCCGTTAGGATACGGCGAGATCGCTTTGTCGCGGCGGCAGTAATTACAAAAGAATGAAAAATAAAAGAAAATACAGAAGTATCGGGACAAGTAACAAGACACTTTTAACAGGCGGGATCTATCGCAAGACCAATTTCGGATTCACCGCTTCAGCATGCTGTAAGGAAGCCAAAACTGTGAACACTGACGGTGATGCTAGGTGGTTCGGATTTAAGAATAATATCTCACCAATTAAAGCTTACTCTTTACGATGGTAACTCTTGGTTACCGACAATTTGTTTGAAACACCAGCTTTTTGACGGTAGTAATTTACCGATTCCGGCAGCCATTTTGTCTGAACAAAATAGTGGTACTGGTGGCGAGTGGCGGTGCTCCCAGTTTACCATCTAACTTTCACAGCTTTTATGGCAGCCTTTGCTTAACGAAATCCGTTTCAGCAAATCAGATCCCTTTAGGGAATTTATCGAACAATCAAAAAGTTCCTATTCAAAAGACCGATCTTTGAGCGATTCTTTAAGCATAGGTCCCCTGCTTAAGGCCGGACTAACAAGTACGGCGCGACTTCTGGTCACTTTTCCTAGTTTTCTGTTCAACCAATCAGAACTGTTTGTCGTTACTTTACTGACTTAGAAAGCGAATTTTGAAACGAGAACCACGAAGAGTTAACATTGACGGTCTAGGCTACCAAATTGACCAATAACATTTTTGACCAATCAGAACGCGAGTTACTAGANACACGGCCAATCAGAAATCTTTTTAAGAAAATAGTGTCCAGAATGTTGCGAATATCACCTACGACGTGATTACACATAAAAAGATCACTAAGGATATTTTACAGTTATTTAACATTATATTGACTTATTACTAAGAGAATTTTTTGTCGTAGTTTAACGTCGTTGCAAACAAGTGGGAGGGAAAAATTGTCGTGACGTGACACACTTCAGTGTCGACTGTTTTTATCTTTGTCAGACGTACGCAAGAATACCAAAATATCTTATACGTGATAACGCACCTCTAATAATTCTTTTTAAACAAGATAATATTAATCACAAACATGTGTACAACAATCATGTAAACACGGATATGTCGTACAAAAAATGTTGTACATTATGTCGCAAATGTTGGCAACACAAGTATGGAATTTTAGTGATCGACAAGGATAGTCTTTTGGACAGAGGTCGCTATAAAAAAAGATTTAACAAGTTCGCAATACTGTCGAGTAGGTAATCGTTGTTGAGACATCAACTAAGTATCGTCTCTTCTACAATGCAAACAACATGGCTGCACCTGACAAAAACAGTGAAATTATAGATTGCAAGAAAGTAGCGTAGAAGATTGCGCTTTGAAAATCGGTAAATTAGAAGAAAAAATTGTATTGGAAAAACAATTCAAACCTATTATCGAGCCTCTAAAACAGATTGCTAAAAATATTAAAACTAAGCACAATACGTTGGACACATCTTTTCTCAAAGACACGTCACACGACACAAAACGGAAACGAACACAGATATCGAACGAAACACTGTATCTTACTTTACACAATTCAAAGCGCAAACGATATAACACTGCAATAGCGACTTTTACTCCGACAAAAGAACGAACCGAACGACAATTGACATGGGATTCTCTGTCGATTGACACTATCGTCACTACTGATGCTACTACTGTCACGTCCTGAAATTTTTCCCGTCCTCTTTTTCGTTCGCAATGACGTTAAACTACGAATATACATTTTAGTTAAAAGTCAGTATAATCCAGATTTATAATTACTAGTTTTGCATTACTATTATTACGTACCTTTGCGCTAATCACGTTTTGTAATCACTTTTAACACGTAGAATAGCTCTGGATAAGGTAGAAGTAGTATTAAGCCGTTTTACACTACAGTGAAATCTGATTGATTGTCTTNTTAGTTACAAATAATCTGATTGGTCAAAATCAAATACCCGTTATTCGGAACCGTAAAACACATAACAGTCATGTACAATAAGTTCCGGTTAAAGGCGCCGTTCATGCTGACGCTTGACGCTCATTTTAGCGTCAAAATAGGTCACATGATCAAAGTTGACGCTGGAGTATAATAAATCCATGAAAAGAATGTAACGTCAAATTTAGCGTTAATCGTGTCAAAAATGTCTTTTCAAAATAAATATTATATGTAGGTAAGCGAGTGTACCGAAAAATTAGCGGAACAAAATCAGCGACATAAAAAACTGTTGGCAGCAGTTTTGATAAACGAATTACAACAAAAAAAGGGAATTATTGTAGCAAACGTTATTGGATAAATCCAATATTCATAAACCGATATAAACATGGATTTTACCACGCAATTTTTTCTGTTATTATTTTGGAAGAAGCACGATTCAGGAATTATTTCCGTATGAATTATTTCCTACACAATTTGAAGAGTTGTTCAATTTAGTAGCATCATTTATTACGAAGCAGACAGGAATTCGAGAGCCAATATCTGCAGCAGAACGATTATGCCTGACAATAAAGTAAATTTGTAGATTTCATGTGAGTTTGTTATATAATTATATATTTATTTATCTATACATACGTTTTGTTCTATAAATAATAAATTCAAATTTTTTAATATTAATTAGGTTCCTAGCTTCCGGTGATTCAATCACATCTATTTCATACCAATATCTTGTTGGATTAACCCCTTGGCCTACACGATATCTGCCAATTGCGCGAGCTATAGTAAACAAGAGAATCGGTCGCGCGCCGTGCCATTCATCTGTTCAGCCGCGTACCTGAACTGGCGCAAAATGTGTACCTTTCATGACATATGTTTTTCAGAGCAATGAAAGGAATTGTGAAATAATAAACAATGTTTAGGTACAAATAGTAATTTTTAGACGTCTAGGGTGCAATCATAATCAATTAATCAGTTGACAAAAATAATTTATTATTTCAAAGTAAAGAATCAATAGCAATTTATAAATGAATACTTAGTTAAGTGAATGACAATTAGTAGTCTTCAACTGTGTGGTATCTTTCGAAACAATGGGGTACATGTAACACAACGCGACAGTTCTTACATTCCCATGTAGTTTCACACCTTTTCTTATGTTTCGTACAAACTTTGCAAGCTCTTGTTGAAATTTTTTTCATTGGAGTGGGATCTATATGTTTCGGAAAGTGACCCCAATGTTGCGCCTGTAGCCTCATTGGTATATCTCCGTTCGATAATGGTTCTTGTCTGTTATAATTTGGTAATGGGACGGTTTGTAATAATCCTTCAGCTATTCGAAGTCTGTACTCAGTGTAATTCTGTTTTTTTGCCATACTGCTTTTGTTGTACAGAATATATGAATTCAAAAGTGCCATATCGCACATGTAAAAAAAGATTTTTCGGTATCCCTTCACGAATTTTCTCATTATAGGGAAACTCGCTAATACCTGATCCTGGCGATCAATACCAATCATTCCCATATTATAATCTATAATACATTTCGGCTTGAAAATAGGGCTTGGATAACTTTCGTTTTGCGCAATCATTTCTGCACTTTCGTGCTTTGTTGAAAGAATATGGACGTCTCGTTTATCCTTCCACTTTAACGCTAGTATGCCATTGCAACTTCTTATTATACAGTCTCCTTTTTTTAATTTTGCTTTAACAAAATCTCCCGGCATATTTTTTCTATTACAACGTACTGTCCCAAGAACATTTGTTCCATTTCTAACCAAAGTTAGAAACAATTTTGGCGAAGAATACCAATTATCTATATATAAGGTATGTCCTTTATCTCGTATTGATTGCAATAACTCCATCACAACAGTTTCAGATGCACTGTAATCAAGAGTTGTTTTATCGTTTCCTGCATAGATCTTAAAATTATAGCAGTAACCCGATGCTGACTTGCAGAGTTTATAAAATTTAATCCCAAACCTCGCCCTTTTCGAAGGATTAAATTGTTTACAAGACATACGTCCCTTAAATTTCATCAGTGATTCATCGATCGCTATATTCTCTTCCATTATATATACGTCTCTAAATTTTTCATTAAAATAGTTTATCACAGGTGTCACTTTGCGTAATTTATCCGTGTTGTCAGCTGCATCGTTATCTGCAAAGTGGAGAAATCTAGTGATTTGTAAAAATCTTCTTAGTGGCATACATTTTCGGAAAATGGGTGTTTCTATAATGGCTCTTTTAGACCAGTTCATCTGGATTTTTGGTTTTTTTACTTGAGCCATTATGATGCATAATGCAAGGTATATTTTAATTTCATTGCGATCTACTGGCGTCCAAGTTTCATCAATTATCCTTCTCGTATGTGTACAGCTTTTTGTTTGTTCTGCGTACCGATTCGTTTCTTGAACAATATTATCCCAAAACGCATTGTCGAATATTATATTAAAAAAGTCTAACTCTTTTTTACTTCCACCTAATTGGTCTTGAATTTGCTGCTCTTATGTCAGGAGTTTGTGTATACTTCCAGATTTTTGGCCTGTTATTTTTTTCTTCCCAAAACCATTGCGCTGATAATGGCTGATAAGTGCTGTCTTCATCATCGGAATCATCTTCAATTATTAATCTTCGTGGACGTTTTCTTACAGGAAACGTAATATCACTGTCCTCACTATCAGATTGAAAAGGATATATCAAATCACACTCGGCAATAGTGCCGCACTCCTCCCCACTACCATCAATATTAGATTTCCTTCTTCTTAGCATGATGGGTATAACAGTTTCTGAATTCTTTATACAAAGCTATATTTGAAACGTGTGAACGTAACGAAGCTTTACGGGGAACTAAAGTAACAGACCATCCAGTTGCACCAGAAACAAATTAAAAAACAAAATACTGACGTGACAATCAAAGAAAAAGTACTGGATGTGGAATAACTCCAATCGCTTGTTCGAATAATACTCGGCATCTTATGCACCGATTCCTCACCACGAGCCTGACTTGTGGCTTTTGTTTATGGCACAAATTCTTTACCACGAGTCTGACTCGTGGCTTTCGTTTATGGCACAAATTCTTTACCACGAGTTAGACTCGTGGTTTTCGCTTATGGCACAAATTTTTCACCACGAGTCAGACTCGTGGTTATAGGCCAAAGGGTTAACAACTGTGAGTAACATTATTGAAGAAACATGTAATACTATTTGGTAGTGATTGCACAAAAAAGTACTTCCTTCTTGTTTCAATAAGGACGATTGGCTAAATATTGCTAGAGACTTTGAGACAAAATAGAATTTTAATCATTGTATAGGATCAATTAACGGTAAACACGTTCTTATTCAGGTATATTATATATTTGCAAAACCTATATATGTATATGTATATAATGTAAGAATAAAGTAAAAAGTTTTAAAAACTCTTTCAGTTTCCAGATAATGCAGGTTCTGCATATTTCAATTATAAAAATAGCCATAGCATTGTATTACTTGCAATTTGCGATGCAGATTATATTATAACTTTTGTCGATATCGGAGGTTACGGTCGACCTAGTGACGGTGGAACTTTCAGAGATTCCATAATAGGTTACAAATTCAACAATCATGAAATGAATTTGCCAAAACCAGAATATTTAACAGTAGATGGATTAACATTGCCTTACGTGCTTGTAGGAGACGACGCATTTCAATTAACAGAATATTTACTTCGACCATATCCTGGAAAAAACTTAAGTCAAGAACGAACTATTTTCAATTATCGTCTTAGTAAAGCCAGGAAAACGATTGAAAATATTTTTGGCATCTTAGTTAGCCGATAGAAAATTTTAAAACGACCAATTATTTGCAGTGTAGAAAAATCTATGAAAATTGTACAAGCTATTGTATGTCTGCACAATTGGCTTTGTAAGCAAGATATCGGTATAAATCAATATGTTGATGAAATACTAGTCGATCACGATAGATTTGATGAGTTTGTTCCAGGATCTTGGAGACAAGACATTGAAGACAGTGCATTAAGAGAAATTACTATATGTGGTAGTAATAATATTACGCAAAACGCAATCAAAATTCGTGAAAACTTTTGTAACTATTTTAATACTGAAGGGGAGTTATACCATGGCAATTTAATAATATTTACTTATAATTTGTATAGGAAAGATTGTGTGGTAAAATCCATAATTATATTATCTAAATATTAGATTCAATAAAATATTGTTTACAATATTTTCTTTGCTATTATTGTTATACTTTGTTTATATCAAAACAAAATACTGCTGTCAAAGTTTTTTTCTGTCACTTCTGTTTTGATCAATTTTTTTGTACATACATTTGCTTAATTAATAATTATCTTGCAATATGCTTAATTACTAATTATCTTGTAATATTAAAGAAATTATAATCTTTAAATAGAAATAAAATAAAATCTGATAATCATTTATTTACTTTATTTGTTTCTACAAAAACATTTAACATTTTTTTCATTTCTTTGGTTTAAAACGATTTTAAATATATTATTCAATAACACAGCCACACACAAAAAAAAAATTTCTTTGGCCTGGGGATCAGACCATGTTTATTATATGTTTTTGGGGTCGCTGAATCCGAATCCGAGGTCCATTAAACCC